TATGTTTCCCGAGTTGAGAAATACTTTTCAGCCGTCTATACGGCTACACATATCTACATCCTCTACACTTCTTGCATAACTTCTAACGATGAACTCTGAGTACCTCACATTACAGACACAGGTTAAACCCAATAATTCCCAAGGAATTACACCACAGATAAACTTTCAGGCAAGCAGCCATCAGACACAATAACTGCCCGTACATCACATTTGTACCGTTGTATCTGTGAATATCTAAAAAAAGATCGATTTATGTTCGTGCGTGCTTCCGCACTCTTTTGTCTTTAAATAATCTATGTAATGGATTTTTCTTGAGCTTGTTTTTTTTTCGTCGGCATTTCTTTCTTCAATGTCCAACAAAAGTCAACCATTATTGATGTCCCATCTTCCTTGATACAGTCTTTCCATTTCTTTTATGTCTTGATGAAACCTTGCTCTTCACTGAAGTCCCTAAGGTTTTCAGGAAAGTAGTCAAGGTGTGAATGGAGGAAATGTATTTTCAGAATCACGAGACAGTCTAATTTGCGGAAATTTTCTAGCATATTAGCGCGATGTTTTTGTAGTTTTCGCTTTTCTTATTACCTAAAAATTTGTCTACAACTTCTTTGAAGCTAACTCATGCTGCCTTCTCGATGTCAGTCATTTCAGTAACATAAGATTCATCTTTCAACAGTGTACGAATTTGTGTCCGTCGAAAATTCCCTCTTTCAACTTAGACACTTCAGACACTTGGCTGAACGTTTGTCTCAAATATTCAAAGCACCATCCTTCTTTGTCAAAAGCTTTGACGAATTGTTTCATCAAGCCTAGTTTAATGTGAAAGGGAGAGAGAAGAATTTTTGAAGACTCAACCAATGGTTGGTTTTTAATATTCATCGAACCAGGTTCTAAAAATGATCTTGTTGGTCACTTTTCTTTTTTATAATGATTTTCCCGATCTCTACTATCCCACTGACATAGAAAACACGGATACTTGTAAAGCCCGATTGTTGTCCTAGAATCATAAACAATATTGAGATCTCTGCAAATTTTCCATTCATGTTCCTCATACTTAATTTTTTTCAAAACCATTTCTATACTCGAATACTCTTTTTTCAGCACCGGGAAACATATGGTCTAGGTTTAATCATAAGTTTTTGTCAATGGTCTTAGAATATATCAATAAAAACAGATTTTCGAGGTTTTTGACCCATTTTTTACTCTAGATTGAAAATTTGTCCTGGATGGTCCTTTTTTATGTCAGATTCGTATTCAGTGATTCAAAATACATAAGAATAGCTGGGTCTCCACTCCAGTACAGGATACTTTTTTTTATGGACCTGTGTTATTATAGAAAATCAGAAGATTATATTTGACACAAAAGACGATCTTTTCTTGAAGATTTCTGAATTTTTATTCACATCATCCACTTTGTCACAAGAGAGAAGCATAGGTTTTAACTTTGTAGACAAAATAGTATGATTGTCCCATTCTTGTTTTCATAAAAAAATTTAATTAATGGGATTCATATATTTCTGAGCAATGGTTATCCTTTAAATTAATTTAGCATTAAAGATCCTAGCTTAGAACGTTATGGCCAGTATTTCCTATTTTCCATTTGATTAGTTTCAAATTTTACGGTCCAATAAGATTCTTATTGTTTATATTATGTCGCCAGAAAGGCATCTGTTTCCATACATATACTGATTGCTTTTATTTTTTCTACGCGCGCGACGATTGAAAAAAGATTAAATTATTATATAATATTCATAATAACTTAACATATAAAGATATTCATTTACAGGTCAAAGATAAATTCTTCACAATACCTTATGTAAAGTCAATATTTGAAACTTTTTTACCACTAACAGCGAAATTCAATTGTAAATTGGCTTTTACCACACTTAATACATTAAAAAGCTTCATAAAAAGAGGCAAAAACCATCCTGAATTGTTATCAAATCAGAATGTTGTCTATAAAATTTCCTATGAAGATTGTAAAGGCAGTTATGTTGGTCAAACCGAAACAAAATTAAAGACTAGATTACATAAACGTATTTCAGATATAAATTAAAAAAACAGGTTCTCCATCATAGTTATTACTGACCATTGCATTAATTACAATAATAATTTTAATTAGGAGGACGTCAAAATTTTAGATAATGAACCCTTTTATAACAAGAGATTAATCTCTGAATCCATGTTAAAAGACAAAGACAGGGTTTGAATAAATAAATTGAAACAGAATCTCTATTAGAATCCTATCTTTAAATTATACACTTTCCCCTTCTTAGATCTTTTTCCTTTCCTTAATTGCTCCCCCTTCTTAGTCCTCTTTCCCCTTCCATACTTATTCCCTATTTTTCTATTTTACTTACTTCTTTTTTCATTTCTCATAATCATTTTATGTTACAATGTCTCTTGATGCATATCGCACTATTGTTTCTTTTTATTTCATTTAATTATTAAATCTTGACTGTGTTTTTACCGTTTGATTCATTTGGATCTAAATTTGTATTTTTGGACTCATATTTATTAAGGTATATTGATACAATTTTTGTATTCTAATTTCGATCAATTTATAGTTGAATATACATTGATGTTATATAGATCATTGTAATTTAATTACTACTAACAACTGTTAAGTTACAATGGATTATTAGTGAACAATTTTTATCAACAGAACTTATATTCATACAAAGAATGAAATCCACCCAGTAGGACAATCAATAATTATTGCGGATGACTAATATATATTCCCGTAGATTCAGAGGTGTACCACTTTTGTCAACCATAAAACACATGAACTTTTGAATAGAATACAGTAATTTTATGTATTTCTTTATTTCATATTTCTCTTATTATAATATTGTATACATAACGAATTTTATGTTATAATTTCAATTTTAATATAACATTGATATCGAAACGTTTGTAGTGTTTATGTTTAAAATGTTGATCATTATTTTTCAAAGATTAAAGTTCTTCAATAAGAATCTTATTAGACCATGGAATTTGAAACTCATCAAATAGGAAACAGGAAATCCTGACCATAACGGTCTAAACTTTTTTTAAGATCTTTAATGCTAAACTAATTTAAAGTTAATTAATATATACTATATGTACATAAATATACCTACATATATACCATATTGTAGTCATTTGAACTACGCGCCGAAATTTTTCCGGACTTGAAACGCAGCTAAATTACGAAATAATATCACAATTAAATTTTTGATGCTCAATAGGTATTTATTAGAGAGATCTAATATAATAGAAAGCTGTAAATATTTATTGCGAAAAATATTACCTCGGCTGGGAGTCGAACTCGAAATCTCCTGCATTCCGTGCATTAAAGTTATTGTTTCGGCTGGTACTTCTTCTTGTTTATTATTGTCAATTTTATTGTATTGAAACACATTATTATTTATATATCTTTAAAAAAATTAATTTTATCAAAGTTAGAATCTCTGTTTTTTACTTTATCAAGTAACTTGCTTGCATTTATCGTATATAGTGTGTGCATGATGTATATATGTAAACAAAACAATATTTTATTGATACATTAAATTGTTTTACATTTATAAAAATTGTTTTGCACGTCCGTTTTTCATTTTTGCATACTTCACGTGTTCGTTTTAATTATTCATTTCACATAATTATGCATTTTCAAAAGCTCGATTTTATAAATAGAAACATCTTCATATTACAATACTTGTATTATCAGAATATGGAAGTTATAGGAAAGTAAATTCTGTCAATCGAGCGTTATCGTACATACATTAATATCAGAAAAGAAATAAATAGTTAAGAAAGATAGTGCATTTAAATAATGTTAAGAATGTAATGAATTGTACACTATAATATTTTATTGAGATATCGATTTTACCTCAAATACATTTTTGCAAAATATGAGATATTCTTCCCGTAATAAAATTTGGCAACTAAACCTTGAAAATTAAATATTTTTCATATTGTAAGTTTTGAAATGGTGTATTAATATTACTATATATAGTATATTATTATATTCAAGATTCCAAACAAATTCACATAAACATTTATTGAATGTGAAGTTAGCTGGAATCCTGAATGTCCTGATATATACTAGTATTAGGCCTGTTCTTTTTATATATAAATAATAATTAATAAATCGAATGCAAAAAAGGTTTCAATTATGTATCTAGCCGATATATTAGATAATAAAGTATCTGTCATATTAACGAATATTGATAAATCACAAATTACCTCTATTCTCTTTTATAAATAATAGATTTTCTTCTAACTGTAAGTTATATAAATATCCACATTTGATTAATCTCTCTGATATAACGTACATTTCTATTTCTCTTCGTCTTTTTCTCTTAAAAAAATACTTAATAAGACAAAATCGATATAATTTTCCTGGATTTGAGTTATCTGCGCTAGCTTAAAGAAATATAATTTATTCCTTTTTTTAACGCATAACTTTCCTTTAATATCAATATGTGTCGTATCAATGACGTTTCTTGAAATGTTATATAATTGTATTAATAATGTAGTAAAGTCGAACGCGTTTTATATAATTAATGGCGACATTAAAATCGCCAAATTTCAACTTCTGCGCTGCATTTTAATCTCCATAGAAGAATTTTTATTTTCGTCTGACCTATAATTATTTTCGCATATGCGTCTCGATAGACGCAGCAGGTCGTAACATTCACATTGACACATGAATCAGATGTAGTTATAACGGCTCAATTGTAAATATGACATAGAAGAAGGGTAGCTGTATTAGGCTTAAAGTCATTAATCCGAAAAGTATGAGTCCCTCTAAAAATTGCAAGCATGATTCTTTGAAAATTTCGCTGGTGGCATTGGTTATGTGACTCAAGCTCTCCCTCGACGCTATACATCTATACCCCTCTATTCCTCGTCCCTTTGCCCGGCGTTTGTCTCTCTTTCTCCCACTCACGAACCCGGGTACGCTCGCTCATTCAAGCTCGACCCCAGTCGACTCGACAACGATTCAGTCGCGGTCGACCCGCCACGCTGCGAGCTGAGTACGCGTTTGCTCCGAGGTGCTTCTTTCTCTCCTTCATTCGTCTCTGCTTCTCCTCTCTTTTTTCTCCCGTATCTCTATTTGACCACCTCCGTCTTCCTATTGCACTATGTTCTCTCCTTCACTTTCTAACTCTCGTTTCTTCTCGTTTCGTCTCCTCTTATTCCGATCGAGTCATCGTTCTTTAAGAAAGATAATGCAGTTCTCTTAAAGGAACAACGAGATTTCTCTTCAACTCACCAGCTGAAGGAAAGCGAACTTGTGAATCAGGATTTGTTTGATATATCTCCATGGTGAAGGAGCGAGAGAAAAGACAAAGAGTTGTGTGGGTGGAAGAGAGAGATAATCGCAAAATCGACTTGGAGGTTCGAAGCTCCAGGTTTGGAGCTTGCGCCGCCGCGATTCGGGAGCTTGGACTCGCGTGCGACAGCGCAGCGGATCTTGACAATTTTCTCACATTGCGAATGCGTCGATGAGAGCTCGTCCCTGGAATCACAGCGAATTTGTACTGAATCGCTCTTATGTACGAGCAAACGAATGTCGAGTGGGCGAATATGTCGCGAATTCGTGTAAAGAGGAATCATGACCGTGGAAAAAGGACGTTAGAATATACAATCGACAACTATTACACATGTGTCGCTTCGCTCAAACGTGGAAACGAGCTCTTTCGACCACGTCGACTTCCGTTTATGCCTAATAATTAATCTAAGACTACGGAAGAAAACTCTTATACAAATGTATGTATGAAGGTTTTTCATCGAAGAATATATATCCACGAGGAGGCAAGAAAAGGGGCGCGAGGATCGTGACAGCTTCAAAGATCGACGCATTCGGAGATGTTCTTCAAGGGCTGCGCGGTCCAGGACTGGACAACTCACTCGTGTAAAAGGATGTATGTGCTGTCGATATGTGACTCGGTGAGCAACGCGCTGCGATAATGGAGTGATTCAGTAGTCGTGATAACGCCTACGGTACACGTGCGCGAATGCCATCAGATACGAGGGAGTCCTGTGAGAACGTGCTACATCAGGTGCTTGACGCTTGACAGAACCAATTTTACTGGAAATTGCAAGGGATTGCAAGTGGAGATCCGAGAACTTATGTGAGTTTTCTATGACATACATACCTACGCATTATAACGTTATTTCGATGATTATGACAAGACTTATTATTTCTGATGTTATGAACGTTCTTCATCATACCCAAATAAAGAAATCAGAAATATCGAAAAAATTTCGTTTATATACATTTAAATTATAGATTCGATTATATGACACCTCAATTCTGATGATATGAGTGTACTGATAAAATTATTATGCTTGCATTATTGTATATTATTTAGGTTTCATGTGATTGTTTCTTCCCATTATGAAAATAACATTTTAAAATAAAATAAACGGAATGTTTTTTGTAGAAATAATTACGCATATAAGTAAAGCTACAATATTAAACGATACAAATCATATAGTTTGATAATTTTGACATGATTTTGAAAACAGAAACGCAAACAGGTTTTTATTACTAATAGAAACTTTAGAAATTAATGAAAAATGGCCAGATAATTCGTATCCTAAACTTATACATTCATATATTAATATTGTTAACTTTTAATACATTCATGTCACGTTCCATGTAAGATTTAAATGAAATATTGAATTTGAAAAATTGCCATAACATGTTTGATACATACTTTTTGTTATACTTTTATATCGCTAAATATATAAATTTGTAGAAGGGAGAGTTCTCAATATCATATTAAATATTAATATATTAATTAATAAGTTAAAGGCGCGCAGTTTGAAGGATTACGAATATGGTATATATGCAAGTACATATATAGTATATATATAAATCACATTGAATTATTTAAGCATTAAAAAATTAGCTTCGATCGATATAGGCATTTTAATTTCTAGTAAATTCTAGTTAAATTGATTGTGTTCCCACATGTTACGGTCTAAAATAAGATTCTTATTGTTCATATTAGTTAATCTAAATATATATATTTCGCGGAGATATTTTAAAAAATATATTTTATAACTGAAATGTAATAATCTATGCTAATTATATTTCTCTACTTACAATAAATTTACTCTAGAGCTATACAAGTAACACGAATTACAAGACTATTAACAGATTTTTATGTACATTTGTATGTTGATTCACTGTCGTGTCGACAAACAGATTTTGTTTACTAGCTTAGCGAGTCCGCACATACGCGAAGCGCGAGAAAATTATATTTAGCAATTATGAGATCCTATCGTGTCGCACGGTATTGCTATGCGTGACATGAGAAATAAGTATTTGCAGCTATTTGTCCGCGTGCGCTTGCGCTATATTTCGTTTGCAACTTTCGATACAGAATATTGTCAACGTGTGTTATAAATTTTCTATTTATATAGTAAATTATCTAAGTCGATCAAATTTGTATGTTCCTTGAAACAAGAAATAAAAATAGGAATGATATAAAAACAGGAGTGAAAACAAAATTTTTAACAAATAATAGAAAAGTGCAATTATTGTTTATTATAACATTAAGTGTTTGTATAAAATTCTTTATATAAAACAGTTTATAAAAGATTCAATTTTTATGTTAAGAAAACCTATACTGGTCTCACGCATGCGCGTATTCGCGCGCTGACGCGCATACACACACACACACACACACACACACACACTTACACACACATTAAAATATGAATCAAGTTTATTTACAAGTGCACTTTCGAAACAGCAGGCACTTGTGTATCAATTACAACATAGCAATATTACCTATATGTTCTATTCATTTTTGTGCTTTAAGAAACTTTTGATTCAAATAATAATACTTTATGCCTTCACATTACAATGGATATTTATTATGCGCATCATTAGACAATTTTGATAAACTTAATTGATGAACTTTATATATCTCAGAGAGTGTGTATTCTAAAGATACGTGCATAATAAGGTACGCCTATAATAAGCTATATATAATATTTGACAAAATTATATTTTATCTACAAAACTTTATTTATATAATGTATAAATAAATGTGAATTAAATTTTTCGTTATATGTACATGTATATTTAATATAAATTATATTTTGTATAAAAAAATTAAAATGTTAACTTCTATATTAAAAATGCATTATAAAATTGATATTTAATTCGTCATAACTGTTTGTATCTATGTATATAAAACTGTATTCCAGATGCATTCGTTATCCAATATTATAGACAACTTAAATAGTATTGATTTTATATTTTTTAAATTTATTTTATCAAATTATATTTACAACCTGTAGAGAGATCTAATGTTGGCCAATTTTACTAAAAAAGAGTTATTAATTACGTATTTTAAATATTTTAAGTATTAAAATCATTGCTGTTCAGTTCTTTTAGTACTCCAAATAAGTAATTAATTAATACTTTCAGTAATAAATAAATTAGCCAATAAACTAAATTTCTGTAAGGAAATGCATTTATAATAACATGCAGCGATTTTAAAGAATTAGTGTTTCAAAATCGAAATAAATATTCATTTCTTCCGAAGAGTTGGTCACTAGCGGTTATAATGTACAAAAATTATTTAATCCTTAATACGGATTACTTTTAAATTACCTCGGATTAAGACTTAAGATTACCTAATACTACCTCAAATCATTTCAGATTATCAAATATTATCTCGTATTACCTTAGAGTATTTAAAATTACGTCATATTTTCTGAGATATTATCTGAGAATTTTCCAAATTTACTTTGCTCATTTAAGATTATCTTATACGAGTAAAGTATTATTTCTTCAGATCACTCCAGAATATCTTTATACACCACTATGACAAGTACCTTTGAGAACATCGATTTTAGATTTTCACTGCTTAAGAAAGAAACGCAATTTTACAAAACAAATATTTATTGTATACAGGAATATAAAAATATAAAAATTTCGTAAACAGAATATGTATTATATGTATAGATAGTAAAAAGTTCGACTACTCCGACTACTCGTAATGTTTGAGATTTTTTAATACTAACAAGACAATATTCAATTGAATACAAATATTAATAGGTATTTTATAAAATAAAAAATATTTAAAAAAACACCAATAGTAACACAGACTCTTTGTTAAACGATATCACAGTATTAAATTAAAAATTTTGTGACTAATTAAGTTATGTATAAATAAAAAGGTACATTTACGAAACAAATATCTGAAAATTTTTGTGTATGTACTTAAACATTATTAGTCCTGACGTAACAATTTTTTTTAACTTTTTTGAATTGTTTTATGATCAGTTTTTTATTAGATTGAGAAATAGTTAAAGGATTAACCCCCTGCATACTAATAGGGATATAAAATATGTATCTATATATTCTCAACTTCTTGAATATCATCTTTTTACAGCCACTTAAAAACCTCTAAATTTTTAAACAGAAATTTTATTTTAAATATTTGATTAATATATTATTGTAAAAAGGTGTAAAAATGCTCGTCAATGACGTTCACTAATTTAAAAAATCAAAGATTTCCTCAAATTATCTGAGACTACTTTAAGAATACTTTAAGAATTACCTATAGATTATTTGATATTACCCTTAGATTACTTAGGATTTCCTATTAGATTACCAAAGACTACTTGAGAACGCTAAAGATTATTTAGATTTACCAAAAATTATCTTAGATTCCTAAAATTTCGTTTGGATTGCCATTAAATTACCTAACCTTTATACAAAAATTACATTAGCGACCAATGATGAATTAGTGACTCTCGTTTTTATCAGTGTTCTTTTTAATTGGTAATAATCAGTCAAATCATATGAGAAAAATTAAAAACAATTACAGTTTGAAATAGGACCGAACATAGAATAACTCTAATTAAGTATGAAAAATTCCCATTTTCGATCGAAGCAGATCTTAAATGCTTTAATTATTTAGTGTAAATTTATATATATACGAGGGCAATTTGAAAAGTCCGTGCAAAGTCTAAAATATGGTATCACCAGTACGTATCGAGATTATTTTTAGTATCTGACAACTCTTAGAGGATTACACATCAAATTTCAGTGAGATAGATCCACTACTCTGTGTTTGGCATTTATTTGAATCGATCAAGTACTGTGATTTGTGAAAAATGAATAAGAAAGAATTTCGTGTAGTGTAACCACAAAATTGTTCGATTTACGCTACGAAGTCCAAATTTAAAGAATAGGTAGGATGCGGAAGGACTTAACAATTGATATTTCCAAATTCAGATATTTACGTAACCAATACCTATGTATATACAAATTTTTAATAAAATCAAAATTTAACACTTCATAAAGTTTTCTCGTAAGTGATTGTGCATGATGTATGTATAAAATGTAGATATTATTACATCATTCTTTTTATGATATTATTGTGTTTGATAATTGCAAGTGTAATAATCATTATTTTCTTTGACAGTTTTATTGAATTTATTGAAAAGTATACAGTTATTCCAATAATTTCATGTTATTTTTAGACAAGATAATATAATAATAAAAGATAAATACGTGTACACTATCCTCTATACAAGGTGTCCCATTTTAAATAATGCATTAAGATTTTTCGAAAACTATGGTAGATACGGAAAACGTTTCAAACAAAAGTTGTATGGTTCAGAGGGGGACATAAAAAGATATCATTGATTTGACCTTGGGTGGCGTTCTTAAGGACAAATCAAGATCAAATTGATTTTTTTTAATGGAACACCTCACTTTTAATGCCAGAATTTAATAACTGGTATGTTTTGAAAAGCTCTCGAGGTAAGCTACAAGAAAATGTAATGAAAAATAGGGGATTCCGTTTAAAAAAATCGATATGACCTTGACCTGGCCTTGGCGACACCATCCAAGGTCAAATCAATAATACCTTGTTATGTCTCCCTCCGAACCATACAACTTTTGTTTGAAACATGTTTCCGTATCTACCATAGTTTTCGAGAAATCTTAATACATTATTTAAAATGGGACATCTTGTATAAATATATTTGTAGAAATAAAGATATAATAACTTAATAATAGAAAAGTATCTAGTAGTTAATTTTTAACGATTAAGAACAGATTTGTAAACCTGAGTTCAAATAAAGTTAATAAGAACGA